TTGGGTAGGAAAGAAATGAAAAAACAAGTATTTCTTTTCTTTTTCCATTTCTTTTCTCCATCTTTCTTTCTTCCTTAGGTAAGTGAAGGATTGAAAAGGAAAAGAGGGGATATAGAAATATTATAAGAAATTAGACAAGTAGGGGTGGATTATTCAACCTACTCTTAAACCAAAAAACCATTTTATAGTCATAATCTTACATTGGTAGTGATATCTATATTTTGACACAAAATAGAGGATAAATTTTCTCACAATGGTACAGAATTTTGTATATTCATACAGTTTTAAAGTTTCCATTGGCATATATATTTCTGCTGCTTTACACCCTGGACTACTGACCGTACTTGTCTTTGGGGATTGGAGGTGAGGTCCTGTGGAATCAGCAGCTCAGACTCCAGAAGCTAGTGAAAAAGCTGCAGGAAGCTCCTGAGAATACCACCACCACTCACTTATTAATCCTCAGTAGTTCCCTTTATAGCCTCCACCTGCATCCCATTGGTCCCAAGCAAGTGTGTCTTCAAAGTGTCAGTTCTTGATTAGCTGGCTTTGTCTGCATCACCAAGTTTTAGGCTCTCAGGCAGTCTTCAATTAGGTCCTCATGTGGAAGTTGCCTCCTCAGCTGTGCAGACTCCAACCTTTATGTGGGGGCAGTTACTGCTCCATCAGTGAAGCCTGTCATTCCTCCTACATTTCTACCCTTTTGGTTTTAGATTTTGACAGCCTAGTGGGATTGCCTCCACATTGTTGGCCCAGGCTTGGAGGATTCCCAGTATATTGGACTGTGACTGTCTTAGGTTGTGCTGCCTTCCAGGATCTTACCCGTCATTGACAACAAGCCCTCAAAGAGACATCACTCTGGAGGCATGTCGTGCAAGGAGGAGATGAGGAACGGACTACATGGTGGTCTCATGGATCTCTGCCATCCAGGCTTTGATCACTTCCTTAGGGGTGCCATGATCAGATTCTTGAGAGCCATCAGCACCTGGAGGGTCACCTCATTTATGGAGCTCTGCCTGGAAATGTGCTGTGCAAGACACTTAATATTATTATAACAATTCCTCCTATCATAGTGTAAGTGGCTATCCATAAGGGATCTGAGAGCCCCTTGATACTGTCCCACACTTTTCCTAAGAAGCTGGCATCTAGGAAGAGCATAGACACCCTGTTTGCATTGAAGTTGGCTATGCTCTCCCTTAACAGCACAGAATAGCTAAGGAATTTATCTAACCAGGTACCTTCAAGATATTGAGCCAACTCTTGTTGGACTTCAGTGGTGTTATGTACCTGATAAGGGGTTAGGCAGACTGAGTAAAGCCACAGGTCACAGGTCAATAGAGATATGTCCCTAACAATGGCAAACTCTTCTGCCAGGTTAATCTGTTGTTATAAAATGTAGATGGCTTGATAAAGATATTGGTTTAATACCACCTGTGCCTATAGTGCCTCAGCTGACTTAGAGACTCCCGTATTGACAGTCTCTACTGTTATGGCTGTCTGGGTCAAGGCAACAACAGCTGTTGTCACCCTAGCAATGCCTGCAATGATGGTCTCAATGATGACAGCCATAATACCAAAATCCCTCTTCCCCCAGTATAGGGGTTATAAGTAACTTTGGGCCATCAGAGTGACAACATGAAAGTGAATGGTATTTACCACAGGCACCCAAATGGCAGCTGGATCCCTCATCAAGATGGCCATTGTTGAAAACCTCATCCAGCAGACAATCAGGAGACATTTTTCATTAGAGCAGTTAAGGCTGCCTCTGATAATGGAGGTATTGGTCATCAGAAAGAAAAAGGGAGGTCAGATACAGACTGGGGTGGCGTTCCAGTCAACCTGGCTACCAATGGTCACATTCATGGGGGGGGGGCGCCCCAGTCCACATTTTCCCTGACTGATTTATATGCAAATATGCCCCGTTATAGAGGTATAGATATCCTGGTTGCACTGAGGTTGCAGCCACCTTTTAAGAGAGTAAGAGGGGGCATAGATCAAGACAATTCAAGGGGCCACATCGATCCCAATTGCTCATAATGGGGTCATATCGAAATCTAATGGGATTCCTGTTTGACATAAGAGTAATACTGGAAGCATCATGTGAGATAAACCTCCACATACCAAGTATGAGGTTAGGTGATAATATCGGGTAGTCCCCGGTGAATCTTATAGGCTGGCAGTGCTCCCAAGGGATAGGAAGTTCCATGAAACTGGTTATTTGAGGGACCCCTGGAAAGTGAAGCAGGGGTGGACATGATATGTTTGGGGAATCCTTTGGGAATTTGTAATCAGTAATGGGAACGTAAAGTTCCATGCCTAACATGGTGCCATAAGCCCCCTGAAAGTACTCTGTGGTCATATTGTGTTGTTGGCTGCAAGGGCAGATGGAGGAGACATTGGTGGTAAAGCAGAGAATTTCCTCCGTGGGACAGGTGCTTTCCAATCATCATGTAGTAGTGACTGAGCCCATGAAGGGTAAACCCAAACTCACATTGGAAGAGAAAAGAACAGGGTAGGCTGGGGAGGTCACTGCCACAGGCAAAAGAATGGGGGGCAGGGACACCAAAGCCCAGAGCTCATCAGCACTTCCAGGCTGAAGAAAAATTAATAAACACAGTATGCACATTACCTCTCCCAGTCCTGGTCCTCTCCTGACTCCTTCATCATCCCCAGTCCGTGGTTTGGACGAACATTTCTCAAGGACACCCATACTGGCGCAAATGCATCCTGGGAGAAAACACAAGTATAACCTTGCCCCCTTGTCAGAAGTGGAGTGAACAGTTGCCATTGAAAGGTTATGGTCCCTCCATCTGACCAAAGGGAGGGGTATATCCCTGGGCAAAAGCACCCAATGTTTGTAAGCAGAGCTCAGCCCCTTCTCATCGAAGGAGAGTGTTCACATGAAATAGGATCTCCACCGATGCTAAATGTGGAGTTCCATGCCTAAATCTCTTTTGGATTCTGGGGAGGTGACTCAAGCAAGTACTTCCTTCAAGGAGCAAATTGCTCTTTCCACGATTGTTTGGCCTTGGGGATTATAGGGTATCCCAAAGGAGTGACTGACCCTCCATGAGGATAGAAAGGCACTGAACTGCAGAAATGAGTAAGCAAGTCCATTGTCAGTCTTGACTATCCAAGGCACTCCCATTACCAGCATTGCTGATTTTATGGCCTTAATAGCATGAGAGGCCTTTTCACCTGCCATGCCCACCATGTATGCAAAGGCCGAGCAAGTATCCACCACAACATGTACATACCTATGATTACCAAAGTCTGGGTAATGAGCAACATCCATTTGCCAAGTTTCACTGAGAAGTAGTCCTCTAGGGTTAACTCCTGATCTGCCAAGGAGTCCCAATGGTGCAAGAGGCGCACATGTTGCACAGGACCTTGCAAGATGTTTACATTGCATCATAGCCAATTCAGCTAGGAGCTTATGCAAATTCTGAGGGGAAAGGTGAAATTGCTGGAGTAACATTCTGGTTTGTTCTAGCAATTCCATGTCTACAGCCATAATCCATAATCAAGGCATCAGTCCTCTCATTTCCTTCAGTAAGTATACCAGGCAATTTAGAATGTGATTTTATGTGTGAGATGAACCAGGGATGTGCCCTGTTCTTGAGAGCCTTTTGTATAGATTGCATGCAGACATGTATAGGGCTGTTTTGCCCTTTAATATAGGAGGACAGGCTACAGACAGCCTGTACTGCATATTGGCTATCTGAGAAACATTGACTGGCTCCTGTTGACAATACTCAAAAATTTTCAGGAGTCCAAATAATTCACCTAGTTGCTCTGAGACAGGATTAGGAAAAATGTGAGTTTTGTCCCCCACCCCCATATCTGGATAAAGACTCTGTATCTGGCTTTATTAACATCAGAAAAGGCCATAATTGCCTTGGGAATAGAGTGAGCTAGGTATGCTATGGGATTTACCTGTAATTGGCAGCTGGGGGAGAGCAGTAAGCTGCTTGGCTTGTGGTGGGTGATTATCCAATGAGCCTATGAATCCTGCCACCATTTCTTGAAAGCTTATGGAATCTGCTCATGATGATTGAGACTATCATAGAGAGAATGGTAGAATTATTTTGTCTGGTTCCCTATTAGAAGTTCTCCTTGCTAAGCCTCTTGCCTTAAGGGCGAGGTAGAAGGCAATCTCAAACTTGAAGGTAAACTTAAGTACATCAGAGTGGGCCTGGTGCAACCATATGAGGGGCCCATTCTGCCATAGCACTCCTAGGACACCTCACGGGACCACAGAATTATGATCAGGATGGGTTTCTCTGGATCATTCCTTTCCACAGTTGATATAGAAAGGAGTGCCATAGCTTTCTGTAGCAGGTTGCTAGCCTCAGATGTTAGTTTAATGCTGGTGAAGTGGCCACTAAGCCCCTCCAAGAGAGAGGTGCCTCATCTCCTGGCCTGGAATCGGCAGTAAAGGTTTGAGCCAGTTAACAGTTCCACATAATTGCTTTAACTCTACAGGGGAATAGGATTATTCAAATCCGTTTAATAACTGCTATTACAAACTGTTTAGGGTAATTAAGTAATGCATGTTAATAATCAGGCAAATTCATGATGTTGTCAGTGTAAGATTCCGGTGTGATTTGGACAGACAACACGAGGTTGACCCAGTTCCATGGGAAGGGGTTTATTTAGGGAGGGGAGCGGGAGAGAGGAGCAGGAGAGATGGCGGAGGAAGCAATGAGAAGAGGAAGAGAGCGAGGTTGGGGCGGTCTCAAATATTTAAATGGTTGATGATGTGTAACTTCCAAGGTACAGGTGAGCAAGACAGGTGAATTCTGGGAGTGGTTGCCTCAGTAACGATGCAGAAGTCACCTGGCCCCTGAATGTGATGTCACTGGGTTCAGATTTATACTAACATACCCCAGTTTTTCTTATTATAAAAAAAAAAAAAAGGAGAGGGGAAGCCGATGGTGAAAGAGGAATTGGGGCGCTGTGTCTCTTAAACTACTTCCTGCTGTGTAGGGGCATAGTCCGTTGGGGGGAAGAGCTGGCTTTTTCACCATCGGGGCCCATTCTGTGGATGTGTGTACCAGGCTCTTCTGTGGACAGCAACTGGTAATCCTGTAACAAGAACTGATTAATAAACTGGTTAGAAATAATACCAGGAGGATGGCAAGAAGGGTGTTATAGGAGAGTATCTGAACTGGAGGTCTCACATTCCCCAAAAATGGTATTCTTTGGGCGAACTGGCGAAGACCATCTTCTTTGGTTGTCAGGACACCTGGCATCTGTCAGTTCTGAAGCACCACAGCTGGAATCTCACGGGTCTTGTATGTAGAAACGAGTGTCTTGCAGTGTTGGTAGAAGAAGTGGTTGGTCCGTGAACCTAGCATATGTATCTAAAAAGACCAGTACTCTTCTATCTGGGCAAAAGAATGCAAGTATAGAGGACATAATATTTAGATGGGCTATCAGATATAGGGATGGTTCTTGGATGCAGTTTGGATTGGTTCTTGGCGTCTGGCTATGGAGCAATTTCCTGACCCTGTTTGGAAAGACTGTTTGTTATCTGTGGGTGTCTCTTGAACCTCGTATATCCAGATGTGAGGGCTGACCTGGATAAAGACAAACAGCAGGGGGAGGACGAGAAACACATGTCTAGTCCAGTGGGGTCAAGCTCGGCTGCTGGAGTGGAGTCTCATTTTCTGGGATTGAGGACAAGGTGGGTGATATCGATGTCCTCTGGAGCTTAATAGAGCACGGTCCTGTTAGAGTTGACGTGTATGAAGGAGAATCGATTTTAGATGGGGGAGTGAAAGGCTTAAGGTGAGATAAGTGGACCCAATGAGGGAGTCCTTCAAGTTTAGCAGCTGTAGGGGGTCATGAGGATTACCTTAAAGGGACCCTGCCATTTGGGAGAGAGAGGTGAGGGCCGATGATCTGAAGGGGAGAGAAGCACTTGGTCTCCAATGTTGACAGGCAGTGGACAGGAGACAGTGTATGGTTGAGGTAGATGGTGGTCAGCAAAATTCCACAAGAGAGAACGGAGGTGGCAAAGTAATGGGGTGAGCAAATGGTCTAGGAGGGGGAAACATTTAGGTGAAAGACCAGGAGTTAGGACTGGACGTCCATACATGAGTTCAAAAGGTGAAATGAGGAGAGGTCGCTTGGGAAGGGCTTGTAGCCTGAAAAGAGCCAGAGGTAGGAGTTTTACCCAGTCAAGGTGAAGTTCCTGTGACAGCTTGACAAGAGTGGTTTTTAAAGAGCGGTTGGTTCTCCCTACCTTACCTGAAGATTGAGGATGATAGGGGATATGAAAATGCCAGGGCAGGCAGATTTCTGAGTTCAAGGACAGCCTGGTCTACAGAGTGAGTTCCAGGACAGTCAGAACTACACAGAGAAACCCTGTCTC